ACTGTCACTTTCTCAGTTGACAATTTCAAATATAAACATATGGAACTAATAACAAGACCAATTCCTGTGAGACCCACAATGAGGCAGATTTCAGAGTAACTAGCACCTTCCTTTAATAGAGTTAAAACTGCACTTAAACCTACTAATGTTCCAAGCCATAGTCCACTGTCAGCTTTTATACTAAAAATATTTCTTAATGTTAATATTTTTATATGGGACTTAGCTGAAGATAAATCATTATAAAAACACTTTTATTATAATAATGGTATCATTATAGTTATAAATAAGTAGCACAAAATAGATCAAACATATTAATAATTTATAATACATAATTGAATATTTTAAAATATTTATATATACATTATTTATACATACAAAATATTACAATATATTGAATAAAATTTAACATTACATAATTTTTAATGATGTAAATACAAAATTTAAACATATTAAATAGTTAATATTCTTAAACAGATTTCTAGGTTAAGTCACGTTGATCTTTACATTTATACACTGAATAATAAACATACCGATGTTTTATGCCATTATCTTTCAAACTTTGCAATATCCTTTCTTCTAAGTGTCTGTATTTGTTTAAAAGAAATTCCATTATTAATAAGGTACTTAAAAAAAACGCGTTCTACACCATCAATAACCACACCCCCGATCTTCTAACACGGAAAACGTGAGTATGAAGTGTGAATGGGTAAATGGTGTGATATCGTTTGGAAAGATGAAACACTTTTTCCGCCGTATATTGCGTATTGTATGTATGTGTAGTAAAATACGCAGTACAACATATATACATATGTACATAATAAAATATAGTAATAAGCAAATGACGAAATATCTTAAAATATAGATTCGCTTTGTTATAAATTTTAAAGCTTTATTTTATAATTTTTTATATTTTTTGCCTTTATTTGTAATATTTTTGTATTAAATTTTTTCTCACATATTGTTATTAGAACGACATATAATATACGTTTAAAACAAAGTTATAATTAGATATTTAATATTGGATATTGAATTTAATATCAACATATTTGTTAATAACATAGAAACCAAGGTAATAATAAAAAAAGAAACAGAAAAATATGATTGTATTATTTATTAAATACATATTTATAAAAATTATAGAATAATGTCACAAAAATAAAACAACAGATTATTTCGATAAATAATTTTTTCATCATTTAACAATTGTCATTAGCAATGTCATCTTATATCTTTCACTTACAGTGATTTAATAAGTGTATTGATATGATTAAAAATTTCTTGATACTACAATTTGTGATAAGAAACAGTAAAAGAACATTAAAAAATTATATTTCTATAACAACTTGTATATACTTTAACAAGAGTTTGATTGTAACAATTGACAATTACTACTTTATCGTACCTCAATTATTTATTTTATATCATTTGAGGAACTTTTTACGAGCTATGATTTTTAGCAAATGCGATCAATCCGTTTGTTGATGAATCATGATTTGTAACTGCTTGAGTACTTTCTAATTCAGGTTCAATTACCTTTGCCAACTGCTTCCCTAATTCAACACTATTAAAATAAAATTATATATTTTTACATATTTCGAAGTTTTCAAGTATTCAACGATGAAGTTATTACGTACCCCCATTGATCAAAGGAATTGATATCCCAAATAATCCCTTGCACGAAGATTTTATGCTCGTACATTGCTTTAAACATAAATTACGATTAAACTGAATGATACATTTAAATGATATATTAATATATGCATTAAATTTACCAATCAAAGCTCCAAGAATAAAAGGCGTTATTTTCTTAAGAAGAATAGTATTGGTTGGTCTATTTCCCTCAAACATCTTATGTGGTAATAATAGATTTATTTGCTCAGGATTCATTCCTGCTTTTTGCAATTCAGTTCGTGCTTCATTCTCATTTTTTCCTTTCATCAAAGCTTCAGTTTGTGCAAAACAATTTGCAAGCAATATTTTATGATGGAGATTTCCTTGAACCTAAAATAAGAATGCCTTATTACCTGCTATTATATTAAAACTTTCTTTTCAAATGACAGTTTCCAACTATTAATTATAATAGTACCTTATTATGTGACTGTATTGGAATTAAAAAATCAGCGGGGACAAGTCTAGTACCCTGATGTAGTAACTGGTAAAATGCATGTTGTCCATTAGTACCTGGTTCTCCCCATACAATTGGTCCTTAAATATTTAATTTTTTTCTCACATTAACTGAATAAAACACTTATAATACTTAAATAGAAAAATTAAAAAATTGTATTTTTTTCTAGACATATAAAATATATAAAATATTTACCAGTACTGTAATTTACAATTTTCCCTGCACGAGTAACATATTTTCCATTACTTTCCATATCTCCTTGTTGAAAATAAGCAGCAAACCTATGTAAGTACTGATCATATGGTAATAATGCATGTGTTTCAGCTTTGTAAAAATTATGGTACCATACTCCAAGAAGAGCTAATATAACTGGTGCCTATAAAGTAATGTTTTATTAAATACACAACAAAATTCGATGATTCAATATTTTTCTCAAAATATTAAAAAGATATAATTATAATATTACAAACAAAGATTAAGAATATACTTGCATTTTTCTCCAATGGAGCACTACAGAAATGTTGATCCATAAAGTATGCACCGCTCAATAATTTTTCAAAATTTTCAAATCCAATAGACAAACAAATTGATAAACCAATAGCTGACCATAATGAATAACGTCCTCCAACCCAGTCCCAAAATCCAAACATATTTTTTTCATCAATACCAAATTCTTTCACTTTTTGATTATTAGTAGACAATGCAACAAAATGACGTGCAACTGCTGCAGGCTATATAAAAATAAGTATATTTTATATACCACTAAATTTAAGATCATTATTTCATTACTCACATCTTTTAAAGCATCCAGAAGCCATATTTTAGCAGAAGTGGCATTTGTAATTGTCTCTTGAGTAGTAAATGTTTTCGATGCTATTATAAAAAGAGTTGTTTCTGGATTCAACTTTTTCAAAGTTTCAGCAATATGGGTTCCATCTATGTTACTAACAAAATGAACTCGTGGTCCAACATGAAATGCCTTTAATGCTTCAGTTACCATTAAAGGACCCTATATATATAAATATATAGCTACATGAATAAAAGAGGAATCAATTTATATATCTTATGATCACAATTTATATAACATACCAAATCTGAACCACCAATTCCAATATTAACAACATCTTCAATTGGTTTACCAGTAAAACCTTTCCATTGTTTTGAAAGAATCTATATAATATAAAAATATAAATATTATATACAAAGTTATTACTTCCGAAAGTTAAAAATAAAATATAAAACTGTCTTATACATATATATATATATATATATAAATAAATTTTACCTCATTAGTAAATTGTTTCATGTGATTTAATACAGCATTCACTTCTGGCATTACATCTTTATTATCAACTAATATTGGTTTGTTAAGTCTATTGCGCAAAGCAATATGTAAAACTGCTCTATTCTCTGTGAAATTAATTTTCTTTCCATTAAACATGGCATCTCTTGCGGCTTCTATTTCACGTGTTCGTGCCTTAAAATTTACAAAATATATTATAATTGCGAATGTAATAAATTATTACATAGCATTTAAATATATTTGAATATAAATATAAATATTAAATATATTTAAATATAAATTTCTCCTTATTATAATTAATGCAATATAAGTTTAATACTTGTACAATATTACAATACATACTAATTCCAATAAAAGTTGCAATGCTTCTTCAGTAAGCCGATTCTTAGAATAATCAAGTAAAATTGGCCCATCTTCAGGAGTAGGAATTTCTAGACTAATTAATAAATTAAATATCGTTAAAATGATCTTTATATAAAATCATATTACAATTATTTTCCATAATATTTTAATGTGAAAGGTATTCCGTTATTGTATATAAAATTGAGCGAAAGAAATATTTCAAGAAAAAAATCATAACTATATAAAATAATACGTAAAATAGAAATGCTTTTTTTCATTTTAATCTTATAAACAATTCAGACGAAGATTTTTACAATAATCTCATTTTATTAGAGCAAACAACCTTCGGGTCATCTCAAGGTCATATGTCAAGGATTGATAAAACTCACCTAAAGTTTTCGAAGCGTTTAGGATTTTGTTGAAAAAGATCATATATTTTAATTTTTGAACCATTAATATCAAAATACTGTTGCAACTTAGTCCATGCCGCTTCGGTAGTCAATTCTGGTTTCGGTTTCATTTTTTTAATTTAAGAAAACCGCGCTGACAGTGTGAAATCCAAACTCGTGCTCTGTGGCTCTATGTCGACGTCGACTACTCACGTATAAAGTTAATTCAAGACGTGCCACATTTCTTGTATGTTCAAGCTGCTTCTCAACGTAATCTCTCATAAAAACGGTGTTTGAAGAATATCTTTCAAAAAACTATCATACTATAATTGCATTATATATAAATATAAATCTTAATATTTTAATTTTACAAATACACGCAAATTTTCAACAAATATTCATTAAATACCATTTAATATACAATAAATTTAATATGATTTAAAATGAGTTTGATAATGTTAAAGAAATAAAGGATTTTTATAGAATAGATTTTGATAAAATTTTCTTAATATTTTTAATTAATAATATATATAAAAATGGAATAAGGAACAATAAAACTTTGCTGAATAAATTGAATAATATACATTTCCTTAATATAACAGGTAGTTTTGCATTCAATACTCCTAACATAATTTATTTATCGTAATCAAATATATTTAATATATTTAACTACTAAATCATTATGTTTAATCATATAGTCATAATTTTTCATTCGTTTTTAGGAATTTCACATTTCTTTAAAAACTCGACGTTAATTTCAAAATTTATATTTAAACATAACATGAATGTTAAACATGTGGAACGTAAATTGAACCACGAGATATACAAGAAACGAAGGAACAATACGATATGTTCCCATTGAACTGATGTATGTTCCAAATTCCAAGTTCCAAGTGAATCAAGTGTTATCATCGAAAACTCTAGAGTCGAAATTTTGAGGTTGCTTTCTGAAGGGATTTCGACGTTTTATTTTTTTTATTGCGTGGAATTATTGTGGCAAAAGTGATAAAAATTGGGGAAAAGTTAAACGCCGTTAAAATCATATAACTGAGTTGTTCTTAATTCAAGATCAAAAATGGTAATCGACTTTTGTTTTGACTATTTTAAGTTATGTCAAACTTTTGATATTTGTTTATTTGAAACTTAAATTTCTTTTCACGTCATAGTTATAAATATACATATGTTTTAACCAAGTTAAAATTATTACACAGTTTATAGCCAATTTTAGATATCATAATATCTTTATTTTAAAATACATATGTGTATCTATGTCTTTTTACACTGGGACATGAAGAATGTAAATATTTACTCTTTTGAAATATTATAACCAATAAGTATATAAAAATGAAAAATTATTTAGTACAGTGTATACATTAAAGTAACTAAATTGCAATATTTTTTTTTGTCTGTTATAGTCTCACACAATATTGCTTGTACAACCAGGTAATAGACCTGAAACAAGAACATACTCTGATTACGAAAGTGTTAATGAATGTATGGAAGGTAAGGATATTCTATATTGTGGTTGGAACTTAGTAATTTTTTAATTGAATCACAGAATATTTAATCATATATCAAATATATATATATATGATATAAATATAGGAAAATAAGCTTGATTTTTTAATACAGGTGTATGCAAGATTTATGAAGAACATTTAAAAAGGCGAAATCCAAATACGCCAACAATAACATACGATATCAGTCAATTATTTGATTTTGTTGATCAACTTACAGATTTATCATGTCTTGTTTATCAAAAATCCACAAACACATACGCCCCATACAATAAGGATTGGATTAAAGAAAAGATATATGTTTTACTACGTCGAGCTGCAGGACATGGGAAATAATTAATAAATAAATGTACATCTATAATTTTGTGTATAATAAAAATGACGTTTAGGTAAAGATCTATATTAAAGTTTGTAATAATAAATATATAACGTACAGAAAAACTGTACTATTGTATATTCATATACTATAGAATAATCTCCTTAATATTATTTTTAGGGATAATATGATTTCTTATTTCACATATATATGTGTTTATAATAAAATAGTTATGTGGTTTTTTAAACTTGTATTATTTTTAAATGAATGTGAATATATGTATTAGTTCAATGAAATATATATTTCTCTTAATATTAAAGAAATTCTATTATTTTATTTATAAAATGAATTTATATTATTTTTTAAATAGTAATAAATCGTTCGAAAAAATGTTTATTAATTCTTACATAAATACATGAAATTATAAATATTCAACATTTATTATTCATTTAACTTTTACAAAATAGAATAATAGAATATATGTATGTAGGTAATGTGAAAGTATCATTAATAGAATAAATCAAATTTTTTAAAAATTATATTTATATGTATGTTACACAAAAGATGTATTTAATATTATCTAATTCTATTTAAAAATTTATCTAAAAAATCAATAGTTATTTACCTGATACCAATGAGAGTGAATGATGAGATAACACATTGTATATAAAATAACCAATAATTCTTTTGCATAATACATAAGAGACAATTGGAAAAACTAACATTTTATATGCATATTTTTTATTATGTACGTTTGCAATTTGCGCATGAATAAATCTGTAAAAGAATCTGGTTTGTACAAGATGAAATTATCATTCTGTTATAAAAATTAAGGCAAAGTGCGTATTCGAATTAAGTTCAATATAACATTACATTAAATGTAATAATTAAATACCAAAAATGAAAAATATGCAATTTTTACAAGATATATTATATTGTATTTAATAAATATTAGACTTATATATAAATGTAAATTTTACAAACAAGTTGTACGTATACAGTAATACGTTTCAGTTTATTTTTTATTTTTTACATGATTCATATGCATTACCAATAAGCACATTGTATCCAATCACTCGTAAATATATGCGCTTATGCATACATCTATATATATATATATAACTATATATCTCTATATACATATAGACTGGTACATAGTAATATAAAAGTACGTATGAATTGTACATATCGCATACTGTTTTACGCATTGCGTTTATACATCAGCTGTCTACCATTAAATGCAGTGGTTTTGACAAAATACGGAATTGGAGTTATATAAGATAACAAAACGTGAATAAGTTTGTTTGTTGAGACCCAATTCCTAAAAATCAGTTTTGAGATAACGTCCAACTACTGTAGAGAACGATTGCCAGTTCGTCAATCAGCTCTCAACGTTGCATTTGCTCGTGAACGAAACACCTTTATATTTTAATCAGCGATACCGTCATAGGAATTATCCTTTATAAATACTAATAAAACAATTTATAATATTTTCTACTGACAGACTGTGGATTTTGTGTTATAATTAAATTTTTATCAATGACAAGTGTTCAGTAGTGTCTAACGTTAATTTTGATAAAGATTGTTGCTCTTTGTACGTGTCAAATGTTTCAAAAAAATTGATATGACATAAAATATTGCAAAACTTTTTAATCAGATGATTTAGAAAATATCCTGTGATTATTACATAAGTGACAGGATGTCTGACAAGATTGAAATTGATCCTTTTAGTGAAACACCTCTGGAATCTCAAAATTGCGAAGGTAAAGTTATCAATTATTTAAGATTGTCTTTGCAAATAACTTAAGCGTTATTCATTATACAAATTTGGCGAACTATTAAAAGAATCTATTATTTAGTGCATCTGTCGTCAATAAGGAGCAATTCGTATGCTCAGAATATCTATAATACGTATAAGTATCTACATATGTACTCGATACGCGCAGTCGATATAAAGAAGAATTTGAAAATTATGCAAAGTTACTGCAAATTGTAATATCTATAATATCTGATAAAAAAAAACTTTCTATATGTTTATCATATCTAATAAACCTGAAACTCACTTTAATATACTTTAATGAAACCTATAGAAATTTAACAATAATTTATCAATTTTATAAACAATTAATGAAATATATATATATTTGAAATCTTACTCGATGGTGTTCAATTTATATCTTTGTAATACATATAATTTAAACATATATACTTCTCATGTATTACAACTTATTAAATCAAAATATACTAATAATGACTGTGTGTGAATCTCTTATTTTATATTTTTTGTTATTGCATGTTATATAATTTGATATTGTTTGTAAATAATAAACTGAAAGATTAAAAACTATAACATTATATCTTTTTAACCAAAGTTTTTAGTAAGTTTTATATTTTATTAAATAACAAAAATTATATGTACCGTGTTAAATTTATTTTATTCTAATTCCAAATATTAATGTTTAAAGAAATTCCAGAAACTACCAGAGAATTAAATTCAAAGGATAACTCACAAAATATAATAAATGAATTAACATATGCAGAACCTTTAACTGCAGAACAAATACGATGGTTTTATAGAGATGGTGTAGATAAAAGATGGGTAGAATTCTGTGGATATGATAGCTTAAGAATTGAATATGCTTGGCAAAATTATCAAAATTTCCTTAGTAAAAGTAATAATATAACCAACAATCCACCTGCTGTTGAAAAAATTGTAGTTAGAGGAGGAATGTACGATGTGGAACTAGATAAAATGAAATGTGTTTCAATATATTGTACAGGTATATATTTTATTTAGCTTCAATCTCATATATCATTATTTTTTTAATATAATTTAACAAAATATAAAGTAACTAAAATAATTCAAGCTTATATTTAATTATTTCATATTACATTTCACATTCTAAATAAAATACAAATTTCTTCATTGTATATAATATTTTAATTTAATTTGAGTAATAACGTTCATTTTTTTTTATAAGTACTAATTATTATGTCTACCATAAAAATCAAACAATTTGTTATCTTAAATCTATTATAATTAGTTTCATTTAACCATGATTAATGTAATCAGAGTATAGGGTGAGTGTTATATGTATATTGTATTGTAATTTTTTTTCAATTTCTATGTATATTTCAGATAGAGAAAGTTTTATGCACAAAAATATTTTTATGATTTTTTCACTTTTAAATTAAAAATATTTCATTAAATAATTAAAAAGATAATTCATTAAATTTTTAATTAATTAAATAGCTACACATATATTGTATGTATATGGTTTTGTTTAAATAAGTGTAATCATCAGTTTTAATTTTATTTGAAGGTGAAGAATGGGAAATTATGAGAGGGACTTGGTATTATGATGGTAGTTGGTTACCTTTAGAGGCAGAACAAGCTAAAATTATAGAAGAAGTTCATCTTAATCTTTTTCAAAAGCAAAATTCTGGTCAATCCACTTCAACATATGATACACCTTCTCACTCTTATGAAGGTATGAATTTTGCTTTTAATTATATATTACTTTCTGTAATAGTATATATACAATGTAATATAATAAGGAATTAAATTTTTGTATTTCTAGTATTACACACGGAACATTTTTCTGAATTTCATGTTGACTGGCATAGTATAAATGATGTAGTATTATATAGCGAATATAGGCATAAAAAATTAATGCGTAGTGTTACATCAAAATTAGGTTTTGCAAAAAGTAAGTATTTTAAAAATATATAATTATTATTAAAAATTTATGCATTACTTATAATGGTTTTTATAGCAACAGGTTATCAACTAAGAAGAGGATATAAAATCGCAGCTGTAAAGGAAGATAAACCTCATGATATTGATCATATAATTTTTGTAGTTCATGGAATTGGTCAAAAAGGAGATACTGGAAAAATTATACGTAATACAACATTGTATGTAGAAAATATAATTAATGATTATAATATACTATATGCAATTGATATCATATAAAAGTTTTAAGAAATTAATCTATTGTATTTAATATTTAACTAGGTTTAGAGACTGTGTAGATTGGTTGAAACAAAAATATTTTCCTAACTCTAACTATAGAATAGAATTTTTCCCTGTGGAATGGCGTTCATCGTTAAAGCTTGATGGAGGTAAAAAACTGATGTACAATTTCTCTAATTAATATTTAGATTTTTACATTTTTTTAATAGCATCTTGTATTTAATGAAAATTATTTTAGGTATAGTAGAGGCTATCACCCCCTTTAGTGTGGTAAGCATACGGCACTTATTAAATACATCAGCAATGGATATTCTCTACTACACAAGTCCTCTTTATGGAGGGGAAGTAAGAGCTGGATTACAAAAAGAATTAAATAGATTATACTTTATGTTCACTAGTCGTCATCCTGGTTGGAAAGGGAAAGTTTCAATTTTAGCACATTCTTTAGGATGTGTAATTGTTTATGACATTGTCACAGGCTGGATGGCTCCAGATACAAGACCTCCATCTCCAGAAACGCAAGAAGTTTTAAAACAACGATTACAATTCCCCGTAGGTGTTATTACTAATTGTATATTATTTATACAATATAAGATATTTATATACAGTAAGAATAATTCAATATAGTATAATATTAAATAATTTTAATTTAAATATTTTCATAATTCCAGATTGAAAATTTATTTTGTTTGGGTTCCCCATTATCAGTATTTCTTGTATTACGTACACCCTCTCCATCCAACAAAACAGATGTGATGCCTCAAGGTTTATGCAAAAGATTTTATAATATATTTCACTGGTCTGATCCTGTAGCTTATAGAATGGAGCCACTTTTAGAAAGGGGATATAGCAAAATTGAACCTGTTCTAATTCCGCCATATGGAGGAGTTGATGGTCAACAAACAGAGCAGTCACCACCAACAATGAGTAATGCTGACCAAAATTGTTCTCTTATAGGTATATCAGATAGTTTCTATTTATTTTCAAATTATTCTATTTATTTTCAATTTAAAATATTTAATAGCAGATAATGATGAAAAAGAAGAAAATTCAGTAGATATGTCTAATCGTGCACCAGACAAAGGTTGGAGTCTTTGGGGCTTAGTCCGTGCTGGTTGGAATGTTAAAAAAGATGTTTCTGCACCTATCCAACCAGGTCAAGGTAAAAATATTACATTAATTTTTAATTAATCTAATAATGATAAAAGTTATTCAATAAAAGGTATATAATTCAATATCTTTTTACTCTTTTTGTTAGAATTAACAGAACGATTGGATTATGTACTTCGAGCAAGTTTAGGGAGGAATTATTTTTACACATTAGCAGCACATACAACATATTGGAGTAACTACGATGTAGCTTATTTTGTGCTAACAAGACTTTTTCCAACATTAGAAACATGATGTTGGTTTGTATGTGTAGAATGAAATCAGTCAGATTCTGTTAAAATTTACTAGTCCATTGTAGGCCTTTAAAACTTAAGATTGGGAGTAGGCCTACCACCAAAACAATCTGTGATAATGAAAAAAACGATACAATAATATTATAGATTCTATGTAATCGTTTTATATCGTTCGCATAATTTAAGGTTAATATGGTCGAGTTTCACAATTAAAAAATTGAAACGAGATTTTACGTATTCTATAAGGTACCTCATTTACATGCAGTATATTAACGTAGTTAATTGAACGATTGTTTAAATAATTTCATCTAATTAGTAAATTCTTCATCATTAAAAAGATATATTTTATAATCTATGTTGAATATGCAAATATAGTTTATGTAAAATATTTATTTAAATTACTATAACATATTATTGAATAGTATATCTTTCAAAAATTTGTATTATACAGGTTAACTGAAAAATTATTAGTTATATTTATTTTTTAGGTAGAGAAGTTATATTTTAGATCTTAAAATAGCATTAAAATTGTATTTTAAGCAACGCTAAAACGTCATAATTAACTATCATAATAATCTAAGATCATAAATCTATATTATAAGAGTCTGAAGAATCCTTTTGCATTCAATAATATAACATTTTTTTTATATATCTTCACAAACTAATATCAATACGAAATTGTAATTCTACTTTCTGTTACATGTGTACATAGTTTTGCATATTTTATATTGTTTATTAATATGTTACGTATTATATATTATTTACATGTTAGGTAAAGAAAGACAGAAATGTATTTAATCAAATTTTAATTAGTTATTTTGACTTATTTAAAATTATTGATTGAGACCAATATGCGTTAAATATTTTATTTCTTTGTTATAGTAATCTTTTATTTTGCTATAAAAAATGAAACTCGTCCTATGTACTGAAAGTTTACTTAAAATAAGACAAAAAATATTTGATTAATTGTATTAACCAAGGTCGATCCATAAAACAAATAAATGATATCAATATGTTATCTTCGTTGCTTGGAATAAAAAAGGATAATAATTTATTATTATCTTTCAATACTTATTAGATGATCGAATTTCCCGTTAAAATAACAAAATTTTTCGTTATACGTTAGAAAGATTATACTTTGTTAATGCTATTTCCATTGTATAGTCTTTTTTCTATTTCATTACATGTATTAGATTCATTTATCAAAATTTTATAGATAATTTGATATTAAATATTAATTCTATTTATATTATATCATTTATGCTATAAGTGGAAAAATATCTTTATTACAAATTCTTTATGTAAAAAATTACATATATTTGAAATATGAAACATTAGTGACAGGTGTTGATATATATATTTCTTTTATCATATATTAAAAATTTAAACCATATGTGAACAAAGAACAAAATTTATTTTATCAATGTATTTAAATTTTGTTGACATATTTTTCTGATATTATAATCATATAATATTATTGTAATCATAAGTAATATTTACGTATTATGTAAATGTGTTCATATTGTAATATTATATACTTATCAGTTTTTAGAAAATTTAATAATGGTGCACTTTTTAATGACTATTATGTAACAATAAATTTTTAAGGAGCTTTGTCTATAATACACAATTTGGTAGCATGACAATAATATTAACTATTCCAAAGATAAATATCATATCAAATTTTAAAAATTAGAGTACATAATAGGCATGTAGGAAAAAGCCTCCAAATCATAGTGCAAATGTTAAATGAAATAAATAAATTAAAATTATAATATCAGTAATAAAACATATACAGTCTTTTATTGGAAAAATTTAAAATTTAACATTTTAATAAAATATTTAATAGTACGATACATACACACACCGACACATACATATGTACATGTGTATATACGATATATATATACATATATATGCGATGCCAAAGTTGCTAGGTATAATTAAATTTTATTTAATTTTAAATATTTATCCATTAAAAATATATATAAATATATAAATACATTTATATGTTAATAAACATATTTTTTCTTAGAATGAAGAAGAGGATTTCATTTATTCCTACATATCTAAATATATGGTATAGTTATGTTATAAAAATAAGAGTATATATGATTCCCTTGTTCTATATCAATTTTTGTATTATCAATGTGGATATTATAATACATAACTGATACAATATATTACAATTTTACAATTACTTTTGTACGATTTTTCTTAAGTTTATTCAGTTTACATTTTAAATGATAAAAAAATTAATAATTTGGTGAAACATAGATAACAAAATATCTCATTAATGTTGCAAAATTACATTTAATTATTTCATTACTTATTGTTATCTTATTGTAAAAAAAGCCCTATATTTTTATGAAATAATGTTGAAAAAATATTAGGAGGAATAATATGAAAGTTTTGACGTCATTTATTTAAATAAATTCAAATTACATACATAATTATAGTTATTCCTTATCTTTTTTCTGTAATTTCATATCCTAACTATAAATATATAAAAAACATGCAAATTAGTATTAAAAGTATGTTTGCCTTTTAATATGATAATGTAATGATTATAATTTGTAATCGTTATTAAATTACATTTCTTTTATGGAATACAAAATTACTTTATATTAAATATTCAAATATGTACGTACGTATAAATATACATATGTATGTATAGCTATTAAATTATGGACATTTACAATTCCGCGTTTTGTATACTTTTATACATTTTATTTTTCCATAAATGCATAAATATTTGCAATATAGTAATTACTATACTGTTTGGTTGAATAATATTATCTGTATATACAATATTATCTATTTATATTAAATTTATTGAAATACATATATCTATTTATTATATAAGGAGGAACATGTATTTAATAATAAAAAGGAAGTGTCTACTGCATGTACGGATACATATTATGTAAATATTGTAATTTACGATATAATGGAATTTCTTTCTTTCCTCTTAATTTTAAAATTACTCGATTAAAAAGTTGAAGTTATAGTTATGTTTCATGAAATTTATGTTCGTGAAATATGATGAATTGATTTAGAATCACGTGAATGTATGTAAATAGCAGAAGCATTGTATGTATATACATGTATATACATGCATGCGTGTATAGCAAATCGTATTGTAGTTGTTCATACTCTATAATTTGAGTTTTAAATCATTTTGTACTTTGAACTTAAAAAGAACATTATATATCGTTAACAAACGGTTGAGTAATAAAGTCGGATTTTTAATGGAAATTGAATTAAGTATTCGTTTGCCGAAGAAACTCTTAATTGCCGGCATACAAGGTGGTTTCTGTGATGCGTGATCAACATTTTATAGAAAAAAGGAAAAAACATTTTATATGCGTAACTTGAAAGAACATATGTTTCTCTTTTATTGAGATAATAAAATGTTTGTTTTATGGACATGGTTATTGTGTATTAATGAATGATAGTCGTGGATAATTTACATAATTTTGAGTATAATTTATAGTAAGAAACCCAGAGAAATAACGGTATTTTGCTATGTTTATGCTACTTACTAAAAAATAGTAATATAGAATTAGATTTTTTAACATATTAATATATACTATATTTACAGCATAATGCATAATAATTTAATTGCTGCTGCCATCGGTGTAACCGTTGGTGTTATAAGTGCAGCTAGTATTTTTATTTACCGTAAAATTTTGGCAAATCAACAATATAGCACAACAATTTCTGACTTAGATGCAGCCAATAAAAGAATTGATGAATTACAAACAGAATTAGAAGCGTTAAGGTAATAATATTATTTTGATATGAAATATTTACATAAATATTTCTTAAATTTATGTATTATCCTATAAAATTTATAACTATTTTGGCATATATTATTATTTTGTTTCATTTAAGGTTACAACTGAAACAACAGAAAAAGAAAAGAAAAATTTCACGAAAATTTAATTCTAACGATAGTACCTATACTTTAGATAATGACACAGATATTGATGTTTTTTCAACAACAACTGATATTGGAGATGATGAGTTCTATGATTGTTCCGATGGTGAAAGTATTGTTAGCGATAGTGACTTAAGGTTGGTAAAGTAATATAAATATATGTTAAACTTATATAAATAACACGTACGAGGATTTATAATTTATTCTAGTAAAAATGTGAATCCACTTCCTGAAGAAACATCTTAAGAATATTGAAATTATACTATTTAATTCGTGATTTAAGCATGTGATTACTTGTACTAATTTGGAAAATTAGAATTTGATCATTTTGACGAGTAAAGTTATTTTAAAAGTGTAAAAGGAAGAGATTATATGTTCAGTAATATAGGATCTCAGACGAACTGAACCAGCTGGATATAATACTTAAGGAGATTGATGAACAACTAAATGATCAATTTGATGTCAAGACTTACTATATATTGCAAACATTAGTGAGATCCCACCCAGACAATGTAGAAGTAGTATGGAGATTCACAAGAGCTAGCTACCATTATGCAGAAGCACAAATTGATAAGAATATTAGAAAGTTAATCATTCTTGAAGGTAAGTACAATATATTTGTTTATTTTTGCATAATGTAATGAAAACAAATAATATTTTTAATAGGTATTCAACAGTGTGAGAGAATTATTGAAAATCGAAAAGCAGATCTGTATAAGTGGTATGCTATCCTTATAGGACTACATGGAGACTATTTATCAGTGCCAGACAAAATAAAGAATGGCATTGTTTTTAAGAAATATGTAGAACTGGCTTTAGAAATGCAACCAGATGACTTTGAATTACATTATCTTCTAGGAAGATTTAAATATGAAATTGCTAATTTAAGTTGGATCGAGAAAAAGGTTTAACTTCTAATTTAATTTACTAAAAAATTTTAATATATACAAAATATTATTTTTATATAATATTACAATTTAATACTAAAAAGCTTAAATTTTCTTGTACTCTTTACAGGTAGCAACATTATTTGAAATTCCAAATGTTTCTATTGAAGAAACACTCATTTGTTTTGAAACTGCAGCAAGGCTTGGAAGTACAAATCCATACACTCAGTTATACATTAGTAAATGTTATATTGCTTTAAAGAAGTATACATTTGCAATTGATTCGTTAAAAGAAATTTTAGGAAAACCAATTGTATCAGCTGATGATGAAAAAGTACATACAGAAGCGAGTAAACTTCTCGACAAGTACTCAGGATATAGTTCATAGTGAAAAATAATGTATTTGTACATCACACCTATCAATAGTTCTACTATTTCCGTATACATATATAGATAAAAACAACTATATTACAGTTTAATCTAAACGTTAACATCAAACAATTTATAATCAATTATTACATGAAACATAGGTACTAAACAATTTTCAAAATATTTTATCTATTGCAGTATGTATTGTAAATCTGTTAATTTAAATTTTATGAAAGAATGCAATTTGTAAAGATCTGCATAAAAAATGTACATCACTAGTGCAAGGTTTTGTAAATTAGAAATATGTACTTTAGTTGTACAATTTAGCAAATAATATTTTATATATATAGAAAACGGTATATACATTGAAGCGCCTGGATTTAGTTATTTTCTTAAAAGAATTTATAGAATTTATTATTAGTGATATTCACTGTATACATCTTCTAAGTAAAATTTATAATATAAAAAGTCATACAAACATTTTTGTATAATTAAATTTTATAAACCTTATAAAAAGTGTAAATTTCAAGTGATTTGTCCCCTAAATATTTATAAATCCAGTTACTTTTGGCATTACAATTAAAATAAACTTTCATTATTATCTATAATATTTTATTTGTATAATTTGCAACAATTTTTATATTAATAATTGATAACTTTTCCACCTTAGTAAAAATATATTATACTAGCTTAGTTATATTTTTTTTGTTCATTTTAATTTATGTAATTATATATTTTTGTATTAATAAAACAAACTTAAATAGAAAGTTAAGATTATCAACATAATCATAAAACAAAATAGTAAAAACAAATGACAAAGATCTATTCTACTGCATATACACACATATATCTTTTTGTTATAATATTTATTCTTATAACATTTATAAAGAAACTGTGGAAACAAATCAAAATTTTAAAAACAATTATGAACTTTCCCCTTGTTTTAACAGATCAATAATGGTCCAACACAGCATCCCAGAACTTAGTATATATTGGGTGGAGAATGGGGTGAAAGGGGTGAAGTAGAGGAAGCCCCTCTAGTAAGATAGAAGAGAAGCCAAAGAAAACATTTCAGAACATTTCAGTTAACATTAAATGCTTGAAAAAAGTAGTTCATTTAAAACATACACATGACAAGGTAAGTTCTACTATTCAAAATATTATATATGCAAATTTGTAAACATTTAATTTAATTTATATTAAACTTACACTTCTGCTGTTCCTACTTTTTTAATATTAAATATTATTTAAAAATAAAAATTTTCTATTTTTTTATAAACTAAAAATGTTTCGTTATAAACAAAAGTTTCTATCTTTTGCCTTATAATTCTTTTATATGATATATGATTTAATTATAAGTAAATGTTCTAAGGTATGTATTTCTAGTACATATATTTTATAATAATAGATAAGTTTTTAAGCTTTATACATATAATTGTTATAAATAAATATATTATTACATATTTCTTTAAATATTCAAGACACAATTTGAGATGCGTGGACTTTTACGTGGTACTTTATATTGTGCACTATGGTACAGCAGCATAGTGGCTGGTTTTCTATTTATTGCTTGCCCTATGTTACCACTGTTATTTTTTAGTCCTCCAAAGTTTCGAAAATGTGGCGATCTATTACTTGCTTGTTGGGAACTTTATTCCACAGTAAGCAAAATAAATGTCTTCTTTTTCTTTCTTTTTTTTTTTGTTTCAGAGTCAAAATTTCCTTACATGTGAGTTATGTAATTGTACCATGAATAAGCTAATAATTTCAATATATTCTAGGCTCTTTTAAAAGTATTTGGTGTAAAAATTTTGGTATCAGGAGACCATATATCTCCAAATGAATCTGCTGTTCTTGTAATGAATCATAGAACACGGGTGGATTGGAATTTTTTGTGGGCTGCAATGTATCAAGCATGTTTACCTAATGTAGCAACTCATAGATTAAAATTTGTTTTAAAGGATCCTATACGACATATTCCAGGACCAGGTAATACGATAAGTGATCATAATCCCACATACTCCAAAAATATTCATAACATACCTTTCATAATACCATAACTAACACATCATTTTTATACAATGATCATTAAAAACTTAATTGTTATTCCATTTGTTTTTCTTAAATAACATAACAAAATAATGTCATTATATAACAGGATGGATAATGCAAATGTATGGTTTCCTTTATATAACTCGTCGCTGGGAAGAAGATCAAAACCGATTGTCACGTACCTTGGATTATTTAGTGGCTCTTGATAGGCGCTCTCAATTGCTTATATTTCCCGAGGGTACTGATCTAACAAAAAACAGCAAAGAGAAATCTGACAAATATGCCATGCAACATGTTCTGCCACAATATTCTTTTACTCTTCATCCAAAGACAACAGGATTCAGTTATTTAGTTCGACATCTTCAACAAGCAAGTTATCTCAATGCTGTTTATGATTTAACAATTGCATATCCTGATTATATTCCACAATCTGAATTAGATTTGATCAAAGGAAAATTACCAAATGAAGTACATTTTCATATTAAGCGAATACCATCATCGGATGTGCCAACAGATGATTTAACATTAAGGCGATGGTTAGAGGAAAAGTGGTTTAACAAAGAAGAAATATTAAAACAATTTTATGAAAAGAAAACTTTTCCTGCTGAAATTTGGCCGTTAACAAAATTACGTCCTTTACATATTGCCTTTAGTTTCTGGAGCATTCTAACAGGTAATATTTTATTCTACTTATTTTCACTAATTTTTGATAATATTTCTATTAAAAATATCGTATCTTTTTTTTAAATTTCAGGATGTATGATAGTTTTACTTATTATTTCACCAGTATTCCAATTATGGACACTGGTACATTCAGTTTTTTTTATTGCTCTATCATTTTTTACTACTGGTTTTAATCAACTTGAAATGGGATGGTATTGGCGTTGGAGAACACACTTCCTTACAAAAAAATATGATTAATAAAATTTTAAACTATTTAATGCAAATAGATTTCAGTATTAAATTCCAATATTAAATTAAATTATTTCTAAAACTTTATTATAAATATTTTAGACATTCATAAATAATCTATATATGAGTTTGGAGTAAATTAAAGTTGATTTAATTTTCAAAAATCGATGAAAGATATTAATTTTAACAAGTTTATATATTAGAAATTTTAAGTGGTATAATGACAATTCAAAGCAGAGCATAGAATATGTGGGAACACTTATCTTATAGATAATATATAAATTTAATATGTACTAATTTAAAAAAGTTGTTTTAGGACAAACACAATTTAATATATTTGACTGAAATATATAATAATAATGCTAGTCTAATATCATAAATTAAAGGTATTACTATAGTGTACTAGATAAAAAAAATGATGGAACTATAAAATTATAATACTTTAATGTTGTGGGAAAATTAGCCCTCCATAGATTACTGAGTTATAAAAAACAATTTATATTTTACATTTTTTAGTTCTAATTATAGAAAATAAAGATTGTATATATCATATATACACCATAATATTTAATTTATTCTTTTATACCATGTGCTATGGTTTAAAAATTACTGTTTTTCATAATTTTGTTTATAGCTTGATACAGTTTGTAAACTATGGAGAGTTGATACTAATATCGACAAGTTTTAAAAAAAATATATTTTGCTAACTTAAATATTTAGGATGTAGTATCCTTTTCTCATATTCAGTGTTAATATTTATAAAAAATGGTTTCGATTTATATATATGACAATATTTTATTTTTGTTTCTAAAACCTGAGAAAAGAAATATTTAATATTAAAGTACAATCATAGAAAAATTAACAAATTTTCAAATACCTTTTTTATCCAACACTCAACCAACCATACAATTAGGTTAACAATGTTTAATATCAAAATGTATAATAATGGTACAAAACTCTAATTATTTATGTCATATATAAATATTTCAGACATTTTAAAAATTGTACATTACAAACAATTAAAATATTACATTTACACAATTACCAAATCAATTTTCAGAAAACTTTCTGTGTTACTTAGGAACGTACTTTATACAAAATTTATGCATGAAATGTGTATAAAAATATTCAGTTTATTACATGTTATTGCTAGAAATTATAATATTAATTTAACACATATAGTTTGATATTACAAAAAGAGTTCTAAATTAAATATAATTCACTGAGCGCACGCATGCTACGATTTTTATACTTTAAAAATCATAGATATTGTACAAATTTCTTAAAATGTGTTGCAAATGCGTGTTATAATGATACTTTTATTGAGTATAATTTGAATACTGTAACAAATTTTTAAAAAAGAATCTCGATTTTGCTTTTTATCAATAATTTATATTATAACTATTGAAAAACAATATAAAATGAAATGATAATTAATTTCGAATGATAGATATGTAGTTTAGCAATAATTAATGAATTTTATGATCATAAATTTTAACAGCATTAAGCATTATAATTTTTCGAAGATGTTTAATCTATCTATAATATAATGATATAATAATACAAGCAGTATTATATGTATGTATTTAAATAATGACAGATATTTATATATATTTTTTAATTTGCATGATGCTATAATATTTGGTTTGAATATTTTTTAGGAATCATAATTAAAGTCAATCTAGCTAACGATGGACACAGTGCCTCATTATCTCATATTTCAAAGTACAAATGTACATACATATATGGTATAAAATAAAATTACTTTCGTGAAACATTTCAAAATCCTGCGAAATTTAAAATTCAATCAAAGTAAAGTATGAGATACTTATGCACTTAAAATTTCTTAAAATGTCATTTCAATGTATTTAAATGGTATGAAATATAATCTTTTACTTTTCATATTGACTGAATTATACAAACAATCTTACAAGTTTCAATTGTTTTGTAATGGAACTTAGTATTAAAACTAAAAATATTATGTAATATATGAATGAAATGCATAGAATATAATTTTTAAGTATTTTGTTTCGTAATAGTAGCTGATCCTCTATTTTTCTATAGCTATAGAAATGTTATAAGTAAAAGTGAATTCATGTGCCAAAAACATATGTGTATTAGTGTACTTTTATGAACAATATTCAAACAAGAAGGTTGTATAAGAATTTTAAAGACTTCTCTATTTAAATTATCTGCTTTTTCTAAAACTTTCATTATCATTGGTATTAAAATTTTACTTACCTCAGTTAAGACAAGAGGCAAATAGATTAATATTAATTGCTTACGAATTTAAAATAATTTATTAATAAAATATCATTTTTTATTTGGCTTGAATAATAATATACACTTTAATCTTTTCATTTTCAATATACTTCATACTATTTTTAAACCATAAATACATTTAAATATTTTTGTTATTTAAACATTAGGATATATATTTGTTACATGTAATGTGTGTGTTATCACACAAAAATAGACAAAAAGGAAAATAATATAAATTGTAATTATATAATCATATAATTTATATTATATAATTACAGTTTATATTATTATATAATTATATATATATATTATAATTATAAAAAAATCAAAATAATATATTTGTTCCAATGTGTATGTATTTCATGATGCGAGAAATATACATATATATGATGAAACTTTATTATTATGTAAATGTAAGTATGTATGAAACTTTAGTATAGTATTGTGAAAATAAATGTAAATGCAATAAATACATTTAAGTTTATATTATTATATGAAAAGTTTTCTCTTGATTGTTTATAAGTTTATAATTAAAATACATAGTTATGATTGCAATAATTCTTTTTTTCAATTACAAGTGTAAGGTCACACGCACCGTAGACTACTATGCATAAAAAATATAGTATTCGTATATCGTGTCACCGCACGAGATCATCCGATTTTTTCCGGGCCGCCCGGAACACTCGAGTATCCGTGATCCCGATGGTTGGACGTCAATGTGTTTAATCACTCCAATGGTTTTGGCAGAGATAATTAAGATGAGCGTCAAGTATACGTATACATAATTATCAATGATGTTAGGTCTATCTTATTTATAGTTTTATGCCCATGATCAGAAGTTGAATGCGAGTAAATAGTAATTTATTGACAGTAGACGTACATGACACTTGCCATCTTATATGTCGTAAACATGGGTCACGAGTTAAGTAGATAACTCTGTATTCCCATATTCTGTATTTTCCGTATGTTAATTGTTATTAAAAAAATATGTAAGAACTATCATAATACATGAAAAATAATAATTAATAAGAATAATTTATTTGAAAAAATCGTAGTTTTATTTGTTTTATTAACAAATAATTATTACTTTATTTATTAATTTAACAAACATTTTACATATTTTTTCTATAAAATGGATTAATTGGACTTGGTATGGGACTTGCTTTTAGTACACCTGCTAATGGTTTCTTGTTTGCATCAAAAGGTATAGCTGGACTTTTCCGAATTTGTGAAATATATTCAGATGTATGTTGAGCTGTATTACAGTGAAGAGCAATTTTCACTCGTTTTTTAGAACTTGTAGTAGTACTTATTTCATGTTTTCTTTTTAAGCTTATTGGTGTTTCCTACATAATAAAGATATTTATTTATATATATATATATATATCAATAATCATATTATAATAGTTTCAAACAGTATAAAAAAAGACAGTAAGTTTGAAAATTTAATTGCCATTTTAAAATAGATACGTACGTATTTTATGAAAAATAATAAAAATACAAAAATATATAACAAGTAAATGCTATAAGACTTACATTTTTTTTATTCTCTAATTTTGTTAATATAGGTACCAACCAAGTTGGTTGTTTATTATGTACATTATTTCTTTGCTCGTGGTTACTTGTAACTGAATTTTCATCAATTTCCATACATGACTTTGTGCTGTTATTATCCATCAAAAGAGTGGATGGTTCTATATTATCAGAAACATTCCATTTACCAGTAACTTTTGATTTTGTTGACTTTTTTCTCTTTACTTGTTTGACAATGTTTAGTGTTTTGGCAGCTATATTCTTGTTCTTTTTCAATTTTATTTTTTTATTTTCATCAATATCTTCAATTAATAATGAAGAATTATTTCTTAATTTACAATTACTATCTTTTGCATCTGTTTTACAAATATTCTGATTTTCTTTTGTCTTAGATTTCCTTTTCTTCAAACTCGGATTATTTTCATCTAATATTTGCGAATTTGTATTTATTAAATTATCAGTAAAATCTAATTTATTCTTCATTTTTCTTTTTTTTTTAATAGTTTCGTCATTATTCATTTCTACAGTATTATTTTCACGATTAGTTTCGTCGTTAATATTTTCTGATTCTTCTTCACTAAATTTATCACTTTCATCTTGTATTAACTGCTTATTCTTTTTCCTTTTGCGCCCTTTTTGTAGCGTATCCGAATATAATTCCTGCTCAAATTTTAAAAGACGTACTGCAGCTGACTTTATATCTGTATTTTTTTTTTGCATTTTTGGAATTCTTATTTCCTTAATACCTAATGGCATTTTACCATCTGATAATTCTATAAACCTACAAAGATATTTCAATCAATTTATTAGTTTGTTACTAATGTCTTTAATATATTCTTTAATTGATAATCACACAATACATACTCTTTAATAAGACGACGTAATTGTCTACGTGATTTTGTTGTTGATAAGGAATGAAATTTATACTTATTTAACAAATCAGCTATCTGTCTTGGATTAAAAGGTATTTGTGGCAATTCAACATCTATTCTACCAGCTCTAGGATCTAGTGGTTTCTCTGTATTATATTCCATTTGTTTTTCAAGATAAATGTCTACGTCTCTGGTAATATTATTATCTTCTTCATCTGACACTTCTATTTTTTCCATAGCATCAATAGAACCAGCAGGAAAACCAGCCTATATAAAAACAATAATACATATTATTGTCACTATAAGTTATAAACAAATTATTTCATATAAGTTTTAAGATAATAAAAAACATTAATATTCACACTTCTCCAAGCTTTAAATTTTTCCATATAATCCACACCAATATCTGATTGAAAAATCAGATATCTAAAAATATGTCTCATTACATGTTTAATTTGTCTTTCATCATCCATAGGTATAAGATATGAAATAAATGGTTTAATAAATTCTGTAACAGCATTTTCTGGTATATTTCCATCACTAATCTATAAAAATTAAACTTGTTAATAAATTAACAATAAATCAATATTTAATATAAAATAACATACTTTTGCAAGTTCTTCTAGATATATTTCTGTTATATGCATAGTAAAACCAATACATATTTTTGGATCAACTAATAATTTTTCAAGTATTTCAGAAATATCTTTTACCCATTCAATATCCCATAAATTCTCTTTACATTTCTGGAAAGTCTGTCGAATTATTCTTCGAACTAGCTGTAAATACATATTTATTAATAAAAAAATTTAACACACTCCTCGTCAAAAAGATAATCCATGTGCTATCTTTAATTTCTCAATGACGCGTGCAAAGTTTTTCGTCTGTAACGTATAATATCAAAACATTACGAGCTCAGAATATACGGTTCATTGAAAATAATTAAAAATATTATGAGGTTTAGTGTGTAACAAAAAAAATTGTTTTATTTTAAGAACGAAATGATAACACATCTATAATAAGAAAATAATAATCAACATAAATTGTAACTAACAATAATTACTTATCAAACATATGTACTTATTTAATAATGGGTACATCCCCCTTTCTATTACTTCTATTATACGATTTGCTATTGATTTATATAGTTTCTGGATATAATTTTGACTTAACGTATCTCATTTGTGTACAATTGCATTTTTTAATTCTTGTACATATTGATACTGCTTTCCATTCGCATAGATGCCGTGAACAAATTCTGCCCAGCAATTTTCAATAATATTAAGGTCCGGGGAGCATGCAGGCCACAGCAAAATAGATATATTATTTTCATTAAAATATGATTAGACCAATCTTGATGTGTGTACAGATGCATTATCTTGTTGAAAGATGTAATCAAGTCCAGAAATGCATTCTGCATGATTATTTATTTGTTCTTTGATTAAATTTATGTATCAGACACTATTCATTCTCCCATTGATGAACTTGGTACTTGTTTTACTGAAATAACCGATGCTGGCCCAATGCTGCCTCCTCCCATTTGTCATCGAATTGCTGACATTGTCTCTTTTCTTATGTCATGAAAATAATATTGGAACCCATCAGGACCATCCAAGTTGAATCCTTTTCATTTGAAAACAGTACCCTTCTTCATTTCTTTTTCCAATGCATTTTTTCTTTTGCAAAGCGTAAACGTTCTACTCTGTGTTTCATTGTTAACTACTTTTTGCTATAATCTTCAACATTTCTTAAAAAATTGTGTATTACTTTATAACTTCTTCTTATTACTTTCGATATTTTTGCTATTGATAACTGTTGCTGTTTTAGTTCAAGAATTTGTTTTTTTTTTAAGACTTGTTTAATTTTTTTCCATGTCCCATACTTACAAATTTATGTAATATTGTACTGTAATCTATACTAGTTGATAGATCGTAAACTACTGAGCAATTTCTAAACATATTAACAGAGTGTATTATCATTTCATACTTAAAATAAAACAATTTTTTTTGTTACACACTAAACCTCATAATACTTTTAATTACTTTCAACGAACTGCATATTCTGAGCTCATAATGTTTTGATATCATACGTTACAGACAAAAAACTTTACATGCATCATTGAGAAATTAAAGATAGCACACCTGGGTTATCTTTTTAATGAGGAGTGTATATATAAGTGTATTATATAAAAAGGTATCATATTAATACTTACCATGCAAAATTTATCTAATCTATATTGATCTATACCAAACCATTCAACACCTAGAGTTCTTAAAACACATTCTGTATAGAGTAATACTACCTCTTTAGTTTTTAAACAATGTACAATTTTACTAAGAGATTCTGCTAGTTCTTCTTGAATCAAAGGTTTGTCTGACATCCACATATAATAAAATAAACCTTTCCATAATCGCATAAAATCCGCCTTTGTAAGTGCTAAAAAAAAACATACAAAGTATATCTTTTCGTAATAATATAACGAATAAATAGATAAACAAAATTTAGATAAATAAATTTAGATAAACAAAAATCAGAACTAATTGGAATTTCAATTAACAAGAATACAAATCTTACAAAGAGTACTTTGTGAACGAACTATCAACCATCTTTTTAAATTTTTTAGTACTCTATCTCGAGTTACTTTATCGTTACATGAAAGTAATCGAGCAAATTTAATTTCTTGTGCGATAACAATTGCTTTTTTATCTTTTTCATTCACTTGCTTTGAAGATATATGTTTTACATGTTGTATAGATTTTTGCATCGGTTCACGTATACAACGTGCTTTTCTAACTGCCATTTTTAACTATTCTAAACAATTTTTAACTAGTACTCAAATTTCAATTTAAAATTATTATTTTATAAATGTATATGTATTACAACACATAAAGTTTATAATCACATTTGCTAACGTTTCGTCAACACGTGAATTATATATAATTGCAATTATGTATAATTCATACAGTACGCTACAGTAGTACAGTATCGTGAAGTTCGTCTAAAACGTGGTCTGAATCAATTTCAGTTCTACCAATAGTAAAATCGAAATCATTAAAATATTGTGCTATTAATATTGTACATACGTGAAATAATTTAATTGGGAAATGTTAAGTCTTTTCAATATTTGTTTTATTTGTTTGAAAAACAACAGAAAAAAGGAAGTTATATCTATATTATATTTAAATTATAACAGAAATATGTAATTATATCAGTTAGTTCCATATTTTTCATCGTTTATATCTATATTTTTAAATAGAAATCGGACTTTAATCAACCCCTATATTTCGGCGAAATACTAAATGTAAAAAATTGACGTGCTTGACATGCAATTTTTTTCTTCAGTATGAAAAATTGAAAATTTTGTATATTATATCGTTGTATGTTCGTGCTCAATAAATTAATCGACAATGAATAAGGTATAATTTTGTCGAATATGTTATACATTATTTTTTAAAGAAATTAAATATTCCGTAGAAGGAAATAATATATTGTTTACAAATGTCTGAGTCTTTAGGACTGCTATGACTTTTAATACTTTTCAATATTATTAATAGATATTACAGTCGTAGTTAAATCATTAAAGCATACAAGTTAAATTCATTAATTGTCTAAAATACATTATTAAGTAAAGATAAAGGAAATTGTTTATATATATTCAGTATTAAATTATTAAAATATATTTTTCAGATGCCAAGATACCCTTCAGATTGTAAAGTCTATGTAGGAAACTTAGGAAATGGTGCAACAAGACGAGAATTGGAAGATGCTTTCTCTTATTATGGATCTTTAAGGAATGTATGGGTAGCTAGAAACCCACCTGGATTTGCTTTTGTGGAATTTGAAGATGCTAGAGACGCAGAAGATGCAATAAGAGGACTTGATGGGAGAACTATATGTGGAAGACGAGCTCGTGTGGAAGCATCTAATGGGAGAAGATTAAGAGATAGAAGTTATTTCAGAAGAGGTGTAGGCAAACTATTTCATCCTGAAGATAGGTGTTACGAATGTGGTGAAAGAGGTCACTATGCTAGAAATTGTCAACGACATAGAAATACTCGTAAGAAAAGGTAAGTATAGAACATATTCACTTTACACAAACTTTATGGCATGCAAAAAACCATTAGACAAGTAAGCAAGAAATATATGCAGAATTTGATTTAACAAATATATGCTTAAATGTACAATGAAAGTAATTTGTAATAATGAATTTTATATAAGGTTTGGGTCTTTAAATATTGAACATTTTATAATAGAATATTTATATTAGAAGATAAACTTTAATATATATTAATTAAAAGACATTTTTTTTTTTATATTTGGTGTATGAAACAAATGAAATACGAAATAATTTTATATATTAAAATTTTACATACTATACCAAAGTGCTTTCATTATCAAGAACAATATCGATATAATATTGACATTTTTATAGCAGACCCCGCTGAACAGGCATACGTAAGAGAAACGTGTTGCTACTGAGATTCTCATCAGATTCGCCTTGGGTTCACTTTGTGATACTACGTAGTTACAGCATAGAATATCCACATTTCTCTGGTTTCTTTCTGCATACTACAAGCAAAAGAGGAAAACACGGCCGATGGAGTGGCTAGTTCTGCATACTGCGATACTTCTAACGACCACTGAGATCACCTTAGACTGAAAGTTTTTGCGCATCAGCACTACTGGTATCTCTGATATTCTTCCTTTGTCTTATTATCTTTGCCAAATTATCATAATAGATCTAATGGTCAGTAAAAGATAAACTGTAAGTCATCTCATCTAGCCACTCTTCGCCCATATACCTGACATATTTATATGATTTCATCTCTATAAGTACTCATCTGTTCTCTTCTTTATGGTATTGCTATTACGTACTCTACAACCTTCGGTAAAGACGGTACATAACTAAAATAATAATGAAACAAAATAGATATAATTAGTTTTAAAATTAATATAGCATTTTATTTGTAATACTTAGCAATTTAAATTAATTTTATTAATATGTTATATATATATTTTTATATATATAATATATATACACTTATATATTGACATTTAAGCAAAAGAAAAGAAATAGAAAATATTATAAAATATGAAGATCCATTTTACAAACTATAATAGTATATTAATATTTCCGTAATTTTTACTTTTATTAGAATATGAAGTAAACTATGATAGTTTTCCTGGGTACTTGTCGCAATTTTTGCAAGCCCAATTATTCCATAAATCTCTTAAATTTTGCACAAGATATACTACGCTACATTCATAGAAAAAATAGAAAATTTGATACAATTGACATAAATAAATATATGTACTTGATAGAGAAAAGCAATAAAATTCGAAATTGTAGGCAGTTTCAATATAATCGTGATTTTAATATAATATATATTTTAGATCCCACTCCAGGTCTTATTCACGGTCAAAATCGCAATCAAGGTCACGGTCTCGCTCACGTTCGAGGTCAAGATCAAGAAGCAAGCATTCACGATCATCATCTCGTAGCCGTTCTCATAGTAGAAGCGATTATACTAAAGAGAAACTTTGTAATAAACGGCGATCTGATTCTAAAGATCATAGTCCGCCAAATCCAAATCTGTTTCTAGATATCACAGCAAATAAAACGATGTATATTCTTTATTTGATACGTGTATGACCATCATTTTTTATGTTATTTTATCAATTAAGCTCTTTTGTGGCAAACTTTTTCTAGCCTTTCGAAATATGTACATATTTGAAGATACCTGTGATACTTCTTGGCACAAAAGTGCTACTTTAAATAATTAAGATATTGTGATTGATTAGAGATGGAGAAAACATTATTATTAATATTACTATACATTTATAGTTTCTATATTTTTTAAATGTTCAAGGTGTATATATATATATATATATATATATACATATTTATGGTCCTAAGTGCATCTGGATCAGTCTGTATATCACTATTTAACATTTTAGTTTATGGCCACACTATATCCCTTTCATGAACAATACATTTGTTGTAATTTAAATCATATATTGCTTTCTAAAATCTCCTTCACATTATAATAACAAAAATAGAATCATCACAATAAGTTGATTACATACTCTTAAATGTAAGATGTTGCACACAGGGCTAGTAGAATTTTTATACAATTTATGTATACAAGAAAATGTTGGGCATACTAAGAAACATTTGCAGTCTTAAGAAGTCTAGACACATAGATATATATACTTACAATATTTGACAAAGAGTGAGAAATGGTTTTAGGAAGTAAAGCAAAATTATAGTTAGGAGATTAGTAACAAAAAAAAGAATATATATACATTTATACGTATGCAAATCCTATTTGCACAATTTTAAACAAGAACCTAAAAATGAGGTTTTTGCATGAAATTAAAATAAATGTGACTCTCATGGACTTTTTATATAATATATAATAACACACGTACATATATCACGTGAATATATTTACAGATAACGAGCAGATCATTTCAAAAAATGTTTTGTACGCATTTTCGCGAAGTAACCTTTTTATTTTTCTAAGCAAAAAATATTCTAAATGCGCTCTTTGTAAAATCTGTTTTTTGATCAAAGTAAATTAACTGTAAGTAATTAATTTGCATAATTTCGAAATATTGAATAATGGAAAAAAAAACAAATTGTTGGTATATAAGTAATATTTAATATATTATTGATATATTTTAATGCTTTTTAATATAACATTTGAAGTTTAAAAAAAAATAATTATCTTTCTGGAAATGTGAATGAAAAGTAAAATTATGTTCCGCGATGTATATATGAAATCATAAAAAATGAGTTAACGATGATATGATATATTCTAATTAGTTTACGCCATTAAAGCTAAAATTATATATTGTTGTAGTTTCTCCTTGTATTCGATTTTTGCATAATTAAATTAAAATTATTTATTTTCATATAACAGCATAAATAAAAATAAAATTTTCTGCATATTAACGTAATGTAAGGAAAGTGATGAATGGTAAAGTGTTACTTTGAAAACTAAAAATGTTAATTATTTTGATAAGTAAAAGTCCTTGCACTATTAACGCTTTATTAATGAGAAGGAGAAGCAGATAGATAAAACAATATTCGTGAATGTCTAAAACGTATAAAGCTGTAGAAATAAAAAGGATTATATATCATGATTGTGATCCAATTTTTCAGTATGTCAATCTACAATAAATTCCTTGAATGCACCGCAGGGGGTTTTGAGAAGTGGGGTAAAGAGTAAAGGTGGGGATGTTTAGCAGAAGGAGAGGGGAAGCAGAGAAATCCATAGCGACGCTTCGTAAGCAGACTCATTTGATTTTCAGTCACGTATTTGTGATTCGTTGGTCTGTTTTATGAGTTGTTTCCACACTCGATTCACGTACAGAGATTTATAATTTTTACTCACCGACCGATATCTCGATCGTATGGTAGACAATTACACCGTACCGAAAGACCAATGAATAAACAGGTGTATTAAAAAAGAGAAAAAACAGAACACAGCAATGACTGCAGTAAAGTAGATCACGGTGTGGAGCTATCTTCCTCTTAAAAGGCGTCAAGCCAATTACCAGAGAATCAGGTTCAATTAAAAGGCGAGCAACTATCATCAGAATGACTGCTGCTTATACAAACGAACTCATATCACAGGAACAGAACATAGAGAAGAAGACAGGCACAGTAGTCAGTAAAGTAGTGCACAACAAGAAAGAACAAGCAACGCGCGAGGAAAGCACCGAATTTGATTCTGCAATGATGAAGCATGCAACAAGTGGTCAGGAACAAGAAAAAATTCTTGTTAATCAAGAAAAACTGACGCTTTCTACCTCAGAATTGCTCGAACAGAAAGTTAAAGATACCGTAGAATGTAAAAATATCAAAGATGCTGAATTTCCAGAGAAAAATGAAAATACTTCGATTAGCAATGAAGATAATGAAAATGCAAAAAATATTGATGAAATTAGAAACGAAGTGTTGAAAGATTGTGATTCAAGTGTATTACCAGATTCAAATTCGCTCGTATCAATGAAAGTTGATGCGTTTTTTACTGAGTGTGATTCTCAAGATGCAACGTCGGAAACACGTGGAACCGATTTTTCTTCGGAGGATAATTTTAAATTAGAAGAACTGCAAAACTCTATCGATAATATTACTATGGAAACGAGCGATTTTTCAAACAATTATGAAATTTCTAATGGATTGTTAGAAGATGTGGTTCATCAAAAAGACGTTGAGGAAATATATGATCCCGAAAGTGAATTGAATTTTCACGAAGCTGTACGTGCTGGGGACGCCAAGTGCGTTGCGGCACTTCTTGCCAGTGACTCTGTACAAAACCTGGACGAACCGGATTGGAATGTTTCAGGTGATCCACCCCTGTTAGTAGCCGCTACGAATCATTGTTTTCCTATTCTCAGGTAAGAAATTTCTTCAATAAATTGTACAAGTTAAAAGTTAAAGTTGTTTTATATTTTTAAATAAGATTTTTGTTAAACATATACAAGTATATACTAATGATATAATTGTGAGCTACAGTTCTGAAAAATTTAATTTGAAAGTTTCGAAATTATACCTAATAATTGTCAGTAAGTATCCATTTTTTTAAATTTGCTGAAATTTTATTAAAAATATATTTCAATTTTTTTAAATTGACACAAGTGTGTATATACATTTAGTCTTTTAATTTGAGCTTGAGGGTTATATCTAAAAATGTAAAGATGCAGTGACTATATATATTATCTTTCTCGGTCTTCGAAATATTTGTTAGTATTACTTATTTTGTTTAATGTCTATATATAAGTATGTTTTAGATAAATATAACTAAAAATATAAATAGTGCTTGCCTTTTTTTAATCATAATAAATTTATTCTTGAAGAAATTAATTTAAAAAGTTCCTTGTTATTAATTATTTTCACATTTTTTTTATTACTTTCCTATGTATACGAATTATTACTTTAACATTCCATATTACTATCAAATATTAAACTTACATAAAATATAATTCTTTTAAACAGAAGAAAAAAGATTCAAATATTTCCTATAGTAAATACAGCGATCTAATTTTGTCGACTTTACTGAATTCTAATTTTGCCCACTGAATTTTAGTGGGGAAATATGTTGACGTCGTAAAAAGTATCCAAACATCGGAATTATTACGATCGAGGTAAATGAATACGTGAATCATTCTTAATGAATTTTACCATCAAACTTGTTAATAACCATGAAAATGTTCTTGTTTATATGGTTTTCCTCAATATCTTTCTTGCCATGTTGTTACCAGATGTTCAAAGATGTAATATTCCCGAAAGAATTTCACGTAATTTTGTAATACTAACACGAACAAATACTCGCAGAAACATAATTTGCACGTGAAATGTAAAAATATTCTACTTACTATCTATTTTTTTTCGAATAATATTAAAACGACTTCTAAATCGTATCATAAAATTTCTAATGTTTTAAAATATTCTTTAGCATTACATTTGAAATGAATTTAGCAATACATTTATCGGCACATTATTTATTTTGGAATTCTTTTCACATTAATAACCCTTCCTTTATGTCTTCTTCAAAATTAAAAAATTGTTTAACGATAAAGAAATAAGATTGGATCAAAAATAATTTAAAGAACGCAGCAGAGTTAAAAGTCTATTGTTCTATAACATAGAATTTCAGTATTGACAAATTATTTGTATTGTTATCTTTAATTAACATCGTAATTTTTATTGAAATTAAATTTATTTACAACCTATTTTTACCAGTAATAACGTTGCAATTTGATAGATACAGAACAATCGAAAATAAAAAACGATTATTTCCAACTTTCGTAGTTTACTACTTGCGAACGGATGCGATCCAGCTGTGCGTTCCCCTCGTGGTGAGACGGCGCTTCACAGAGTGATTTTAAATGGAGGACCAGGAAATGTATTACAATTTGTAGGAGAACTCCTGAAATATGGTTGCCCGTCAGGCGTGAAAGAAGCTGGCGGTGGTTTAACCGCGCTACACATATTAACACGCCAACTAGCTCACGCACAAGGATCAAAAAATTTACATCATAATTTTGAAGCAGCTTTAGAAACGCTTGATTTATTAGCACGCGCTGGTCCTGTTAATGCAAAGGACCATCAAGGTCGCAGCGCACTTCATATTTTAGCTTCCTCCACTATTTTTGGTATGAACTTCATGTGCATTCAGATAAATTAAAGCATTAATTTTTTTATCGTTAAAAAGTATTTTGTTAAATAACAACATATTTCTTAATATTTAAAACAAATTATACTTAAAAATTAAAATTAATAAATAAGAAATAAATTTAAACAATTATTATTATATTAAGATTATATGTATATTCAAATATCAAAAGTAATCTTCACATCTATTTATTCCCAATTATTCTTATTTTTTTGTAATAAATAAATAAAAATAATTTTTTTTATTACAGACAACAATCATAGAACTGAAATCGAATCGTTGATCGAAACGTTGTTGGCTGCTGGCGCGGATCCATCACTGAAGAATGATAGAGGAGAAACTCCTTTACACGAGTGCCTCGAGTGCGGTGCTTTAAACACCGCGTTTTTACTTATATCTCACACGCCAACCGGTATAATGTCGCGTTATGGTGAAACTCCATTGCACATTGCCTCCAGAAAAAATTATGCTGACATGGTGGCGAAACTGTTGGAACATGGAGAAGATCCTAGTATACAAGATGCTGGTGGTAATACACCGTTGCATTTAGCCTCTGCAAGAGGTTTTCATCAAACCGTTTCTTTGTTGGTTACATCACCCCTTGCACAGCTAGAGAAATTGAACGTAGAAGGATTGACTGCCCTCCAAGTAGCCGCCGAAAGTGGCTTTGTTAATGCAGTACGTCTGTTGTTAAAAGCAGGCGCAGACCCAAGTCAAACAGTCAACTATTGCACGACGATTTTTCATCGCCATCCTGATATTTCCATTTTAATAGATCACGAATTGAGTAGACGTCGTCAGCTCGCTGCTTAATTATTTCTTTATATCTGTTTTTACTAATAGACTGTTGAATTCATGGTTAATCCAATTAAGCTTCCTTTATTTTTATTGAAACATAATTTGTAATAAAATCTTGAATTTCGTCAAAAATTCGAAAGTCAATTAATCTGATGATTATATTGTTATTCATTTTTATATTGATATAGATATTTAATAAATATATATTTATATAAAAACATATTTCAAAATTATTGTTATTGAAAATGTTCAAATTTTGAAATAAATGACTGTATTAGAACATTATATCTATAATACTATAGACAATATTTTATGTTTGTATAGTCTCTGTATGATAATTTTGAGAATATCAACTATATGACTGTTATTTTTTCACGCGGCTTAACAAAATATTTTTTATAAAATTTAAGTACTAAAATATATTATCTAATAAAATTATATAATTTTTTTATTAATTTTGGTAAAGTGGGGCCCTTTATAACGCGAGAGATATGTTCCATGTTATATGAATTCCGTGTTATACGGGGTCCACAGCACAGAAAAAGAAAAATTTAAAATAGATTCTTACATAATATTATAATTCACATGTACATATTCTTCTTTGTTTCTCAATTATAGGTACTAGTATTTGCTTGTTGCTCAAGACTGTCTAGTATTCAAATATGTAAAACTGGGACAGATATAATTAAAAATGATATATACATATGTATGTAAATGCCATAATTTTTGGCTGTGGATAAAAGTGCCTTCTAAAGATTTGTGTGATATCAAAACATGTTCTAAATAAAGGAATAATATCAATTTAAATACTGTCTTATTAAATATGTCTTTAACATTATGGTTAATTTATTATCATACAATATTACTTTAAAAAATAATAATAGATTAATTAAAATAACATTACTATATATTTTGTATACATTATAAATCATACATAAACCATTAAAAAGAAGAAATAATAAAATAATTATGTTTTTATAGTTACTTATATACAATTACGTATAAAACAATTTCTAGTTAATATTCGTTTAAACAAAGTTTTATAGTAAATATAACGCAATACATGTAAACAAAAGTTGCGTAACGACTTTAAAATACGTAGTTCAAAATTACTTTATATTTCATGTAAAATGCATACAAACATGACTTTTTTACTTAAGAAAAATACTAATTTTATATCCTCTAATTGAAGTTTAAAATATAAAAAAGCATGGAAAGCAATGTTTCATCTTAATAATGTATGCTGTTAATTTTCCGACTCTCATATTATTAATTAAAAATAGAGACAGCTATATTTTATTCAAATAAATAGCAATTAGTTGAAACAAAGTTAAAATTTGGGAAGTGAATTACTATGAAATAATGAATAAAACTATTACGAATCATTTTTCCATACGAGTATAAAATGACAGTCGAAGAATTAAAATATTTCACAGCCGTTACATTCAGTGAATGTGCACATTCAGCGTGCTTGCCCAATTTGTCGTTGCGCCGCACTTATAATCTTTTGTCAATACATTGTGATAATATCCGACATTGCACAATTTTATAAATTGCTGTAGAAAAGTTGATTCCTTTCTTTCATTCATTTACTGTTTGAAATGTCTAATGCAACGTTTTCTTTGTTTTAAGAATTAATTAAGGATTAGATCATGTTTATTATTTCAACAAATTTTGTTGGTCTTTGTTTGATGGTTAATGAGTAATATTTGTTGCTTGCAATAAACAGTTACAGAATATTTAACTTTTCTTTTTCAAACAAAACATATGTAATAAATTCATACATATTTAATTTATTTACCTTTGAAATGTAAGTTAAAAAATGTTGCATTAGCATCCAAAAACATTTTTATTATATAGTATTTCTAGATTGATTAATAATACTAATCAATGAATTATAACTTCTTGAAAACTAATCAACTGTGATCATTGATCATTGATCATATAATACTGTCATATTTAAAGATAAGAATGAGTTTCTATCTTTGCAATAATATAAAAGTATTAATTGTATCAAGTGCAATGAAACATTCATATAACGTATTCGATGTATAGCTTTATGATACATTTATATCACTTACAAAGAATGAAACAATGATTTAATTATTTTTATGAACATACAATTTTTTTAGTATATTATACTAGAATTTATTGTACTTCAAAATTTATTTCACACATAATGGAACAAATTTTTCTTTGGCACTTTTTAGTATTCTCAAAAACTATTATTTCAAATATATTAGAATTATGAAAACATTTTGTTCATCCATTCTTGGCTATATCCCTCCTCTCTTTCTTTTCCTTACTAATGATGTAAAATATCTAATTTTTTTATAAGAGACATTTTAAACTTAAGACTGGAATTTAATTGTAAAATATGCATTAAAATATAAAATTTAATGTAATTTTATGTTGCATTGTCATTCTATGAGTCATTAAATTGAACTATTGCCAATATATAAGTATCCTAAACAATAAATTTAACTTCATATATATCCATAGTCATTATTCCATATCAGCACTATTATTTAATATAATGGTGTAAAGTTCATTATATTTTAAGTTTATACACATGTATATCTACAAAGTAATTTCAAAAGATTGCATTCATTCTTTATTTACAGTTTCTTTTTTATTTTCATCATATTTAGATAAAAAAAAGAAAAAAGTTTCAAATGTATTGTATTTTAGTTTGCATAATACTTCCCTAATTACATTGAAAGCGTTAAATTCAAGAAAAATCCAACTTAACACATAACAAATTTAATTAGTTACAACTTGAAAGATTGAAAGAAAATACAACTTATAATATAATGTTGTCTTTTACCACTTATATATTCATATATTCTATGTATAAAGTTAATAATGTATATTAAATCACTTGCTTCATTTAAATGTAACAAACTTTTAACAATACAATATTTTCAAATATCTTTAAGAACAATATTTGTGAAAAGAAAACTTATGAATTAAGAGAATGATACAAGCATGCTTTTGAATCTAATAAATAAAAATAAAAATAGAAGCTCTTTGACTCTTTAGATCTGGTTATTTAAAATTTAAAGTGAATACATGTGTAGTTATTTATTGAAGTAGTTTCTATATGTGTAATCCTATATGACTATGAAAACATATATTCTTCTATATGGGCCAGCCTGCCTTTTCTTATTTACTATTACATTTTGAACATAAAGCTCTTAATTTGTTCAAGGATATAAGTGCACTCTGCATTCAAATCATATATTAAATGATAATATAAGATCTATGTATGTAGTCAAATATATTCTCATATAAAATTATTATATAACAAAGCAGAATATTTTACTATTTTATATCAATTTATTCACTACCATTATCTATTCATACAAAATATGTATGATTAGTAATAACTGTAACAAAGTTTTACTTCCATCATAATATGATGAAACATAATATGAAGTATTAGCAATAATTATTTTAAATCCATATGAAAAGTTATACTTGTTTCTTTAATAGATGTTAAACTATGGCAGTGAATATGTCAATATTATGAGATAACATGTAGTTACGTGTAATCACGGAATCTTTTATTACATCTTTTTCTAATACCATGTTACTACAATATGTATTTAAAATTACTTATAGCATGCAGCATTTTTTCTAGAAGTAAAAGTGTCTAATGTATTCAATGAATAATCAGTTTTTCAGAATAGCATTTAAGAATATTGTAACATTTCTATTCATTAAACGTGTTTATATGCTTGTAAAAAATAAATGATTTTAATTAATTATGTTTTCAGATGTATGTGTTATGTATATGTTGTAAATATGTGATGTTATATTTTTTGACAATATTCAATATAAAAAAATTATGTTCTTAATATTAAACTTAGCAATGCACCATACTTGTTACTCTAGTTTCATTCACCTCTTCTAAACATTTATATTAATACTTATAATAGAAGGAAGCTGACAAAACTGTGCAGTAAATATCATGCATTGCAAAATTAAGATTTAAAATATGGATATTATTTCTTGTATTGAGTACTAGGTATTAAAACAATCTTAACATCTTTTTAGTAATTTCATATTTAAATCTAATTAGCAAATAACAAATATGATAATAACAGTCGTGATTAACTAAATATTATGGTATGAGCATGATAGTAAGAGCCTAACAATGATTAATATTTTTTTATTGAACTATAAATATGCAAAATATTGCATAGAAGTATATAATAAATGTGTGATAAAAGTATTTTTATACACTTTAAAGATTTTAAATACATATATTAGACGTTTTTAGAAAATAAAATTATAAAAAATAATATAATCCAGAAAAATCAAGTTACTAACACTAAATTATATTTTAAGCAAATAATATTGAAATTTTTTTAATATTAACAAAATTATTATAAGAATATTAACATTATTTATAAAGAAATTTATATAGATAGAAAACACTGTTTGTGTATATTTAAAAAGCCATCAGTTTTAAAATTAATCAATACACAAAAATCATACTCTTATCTACTGAATAAAAATGAGTGATATATTATGTCACACATATATCTTAAATATATGTAGTATAATTAAAGTTTTTATTACAGATTGAACTATTTCTCTTAATTTTGTAAAAGAAACATATTTTAATCAACTTTCATATATATACAATTTATAACAACATATATCTTAAATATATTACAATTAAAGTTCTTATTACGGATTAATTGTGTAAAAGAAACATATTTTAATCAACTTATATATATATATATGTGTGTGTGTATATATATATATATACACTCAATTTATAAAGAAAATGATTATAAAATATATCAAATTCTAGATAGAACATGATAATGCATTATTAAAATTGTGTATTTTAAAAACATTTTTCTAAAGAGCTATAATATACTAATCTCCATATGCATCTGTGTCTGTGTGTATGTATATATATATATACCTGTATATACAACTAATTTTGTTGTTGGTAACTTGTGGTACAAGCAGAAAGGGGGTGATTCTACTCGAAAAAAGAAGTCGAAAATATAGAATAAAAATTTTTCCTTTGAGGCTTTGTTTTCGAGAAAATCGACTTTGAATTTTCGCTCGGTACGCGTGCACTTTATCACGTCTCCTTATAACGAATCTCACTGTAGATCGTTGTCTCGATGGAAAAATTAAAAAAAAAATTTTTTATTCTATATTTTCGACTTCTTTTTTTGCGTAGAATCACCCCCT